AATTTGCTTTTACAGTAAAGACTTATAGCCGTATGCAACATCATCTTTTAATTTTAAAAGCGCTTTTAGCCTATTTTGTCACTTTTGAAAATTTATATTCTTGAGCAATTGACTTTCAAAGTCGCTTTTGAAGTTAAAAGAGGATGTTGCATACGGCTGTCATTATTTTCTTATTATCTATAAACTATAGGGTGAAAATTGTATTCTTTTTCAGGAGGTTATTTAGGTTAAGTTAGTAGTAGTAGGAGATAATAATAATTTAGTATTCAATATTTTAAACGAATGCAGAATAAATAATAATTAAACCGAAACCTCATTTTATTGTTACTATTCCCCCACCACCAACGCTAATTACGAAAATCAATTGGCCAGCAATCAAATATTGAATGCAAATAATCATAAGATTTGATAAGTTGCACTCAATTATTAGATATATAACATCAAAATATTGCAAGAAGTAATCAAATTATTTGATAAATTTTATCTTCATTATTCGTAAATTTGCTATTTTTCGTCATATCTTTTTCTAAAATCAATCATATATTTAGCAAATATTATCTACAATCAACTTGAACTGATCCAAAAAAAAAAACCGTTATCTCTCGCAATGTACTTATGAGTTGTTGATATGGTGTGAAAGAGACCTGTTCGATTATCCAAAATTGGGATTGGGAAAATTTGGTATAGGGTATAAGTTTCGGGTTCAAGCAACGGGATTTTCAGAACGAAAACAATTTTGTTATCTGACTGATAAGCCTCTAGCTCTGTGATATCAAGATACTTCGCAACATTTGAGGAGTAAGTGGAAAATGGAAGATTATTTTTCGAAAGCGATCTTGATATTTCCTGGAGCGAGGAGACTAAGGGCGGCTTCTCATGAGCGTAATTTGACATTTATGGCGTGACAGCGTACCTGAATGCAGAATTCTGATTGGCCAAAATTCCGCCATATTGGATACGCTGACACTCTGCCGCAGATACGCCAAAAGTTGAGCAAAGTTCAACTTTTCGCGTAAAAATTCAGCGTTTTAAGAGGTTAAGGTTGCAACCGTTTCGTTTTCTTGATTTTTGTGATTTACTGTCCATATTTGTAGGTATTTGGAACTAAAGCAAAGACAAATACAAATTTGTACAATCAAAATTCAAAGAAATATTTCAAAATTTAGGAAAAAAATATAATTTTGACGGCGTAAATTCTCCACTTCATGTGAATGTTGCGCCAAAATTCACGTATTCAGCATTTGCGCCAGTTATGTCAAGTTTACCCTCATGAGAAGCCGGCCTAAATCTCTCCGAGTGATAATCGAGCTGGGTAGAATTTTTAAATGAGCAAATGTAATAGCATTCAGGAGGTCATTGAGAGTGTTTTCTATGAAAACGTAACTTTCCATAAGGGATTCGCAAAGGTTTGGGTTTTTTATTTGTCCTTCGTAAAATATCATGGAGTCTGAAATGTCCAAGGGATTTTCTTATTTCTTCGATGTACACTGGTTTTAAAAGCAGTGATCCTTGGGGATAATTCTCCAGTTAGATCAAAGAGGGCTGAAAGCAGTTTTTCATTTTATGGACTCGAATCATTTCTGTTAAGGTCGCATGGAATCTTTCCAAAGATCCATTTGATTGTGGGTGACTGACACTTGAAAAGGTCCATTTGATGTCGTAAAGTTTGCAGAAATCTTTGAAAAGGGCGTTATCAAATTCTCTACCGTGGTTACAATGTATTTTCAGAGGAGTGCCAAAGTGTTGGGACAGGAACAGGAGTGCGTTGACGACGGAAGATGCTTTTTCATCTGATATGGCGTACGCTTGGGTGAATTTGGTAAGTTCATCCCTGATAGTTAAAGCATAATTTTGTGTAGGAAATTCGAAGAGATCGATATTATTGCGCTCAAAGGGTGTTTTCGGGGTTTGTGCGATAACTAAAGGAGTGCTGAGATTTTTACGCAAAATTTTCAATTTTTGGCAAGTCTCACAACGTTTTATGAGATTTTTTACTTCTTTAGTTAGTCCTGGCCAGTTTGCCAGTTATATTTTTCTCTTATTCGCTTGATTGTTTCATTTATTCCACGATGTGGGTTGGTTTTTCCTGTGTCGTACTGATCGAGTATAATAGGAATTTGGTCTATAATTCGAAGAGTATGTTGCATGCGTTCGCAGAGCGAGTTCTCGAATTTACCTCTATACAAGATGATTACGTCATCTGCGTGTGCTCTAGTGTAGTGTGTCATTGTTTAGGTGGACAATGAGGCTGTCCAGAACCATGTTCCACAGGAGAGGTGATAGCGCGCCTCCCTGCGGGCAGCCTATTATGACTATTCCTTTAATGTTGACGTCCTGCACACTTCTGTACAATTCTTTTGGAAAGCATATTGAATATCCATCCGGTAACAGTTTCCGGAGTATTCCTTCCTGTTAGCGAGTGACTAATTTTTTGAAAGGTGGTCTTGTCGAAGGCCCCTCAATGTCGATGAAAACCCCGAGTGTGGACTCTCTCTTGTTGGGTCTTTATTAAGAGCTTTCTGAAGTCTCGCCGCTTCCGTATAGTTTTCTATTTCGTTGCAGTATGTCCTACAGGCATCTCTTTATTTTTGACGAACGAATTTTTTATGCTGATTGAGTTGGTACCTATATAGGTTCCAGCCCTCAGGTAGTTTGGCGTTGTTAGCTTTATTGAAAGCTTTTCTTGTCATCGCCCTGAGGTGTTGCAGTTTCTGACACCACCAATCAAAGGTGTTACCGGAGTTTTGAAACATCCTCAGTGCGGGCTCGACATTTTATAGGATTTTATGATGGCACCTTGAATGTGATTGGCATACCGCTCCAATTTTTGGTCATCATTGGGTGTTTTAACTGCAACCTGTCTCGAGCGTGATAGGACATATCCGTAAAAAAAAAAAAAAAAAACCTGTCGTAGGGCCCTTTCCAGACCTTACACGTACTGTGCAATATTGGTTTTTCTAGGGTTACGATAAGGTCTTGTGGTTTTAGGCGAGCAGTTTAATGTGAAAGTTATCCATCGGTGATCCGACATAGACACTTCATCAGATACGCGTCAATTATGGATTGAATTTGATATTAATACTCAGCATAGTGTCACAGTTTGACTACGCGAGTTTAGGAAAGTTGGTATTGTGCCGTTATTACATATGAATAGATCATTACCTATCATAAGGTCATACAGAGACTTACCTCTTGAATTTAAATCCTGATTTCTCTAGTTGATGTGGTGCGAGTTGGAGTCACACCCAATCACCAGCTCCAGATCGTGGGTCTGGCAGTGCCTGACCAGCTCTACAAGGTCCCTGGTGGGTGGTAGCTTCTCAGCATCTGAAGAAATGCCACCAGTTTCTTAAATTATTTTTCTGAGGTTCCTTGAAGGATCCTCCGCCACGTAGTGAAGAGTTTCTACGCTATTTTCCGGACAAACTGCATATGAGTATTTCGAACGAAGAAGGCGAAAGGATGCAGAGGAGAAACGAAATCGTAGAAAAGTACGAGAACGTCTGATAAGTCCTAATTTACCACAGCGACCGGCGCTAATTGGGTGTGCAATCAATGTGGAGAAATTATTGTAGGTCCAGAATAGGCTTATTCAGCCATCAAAGAACTCATAGATAATGATGCTGCTAAGTGTACACAACTAGGGACGTGGTATTTATAGGGACATGGTATTCAGGACTCATTTATAAAAATTTGTCCACTTGAAAGCGATAGAATTCCTGAATACTTGGCTCATCCTGAACGTGGACATGTTTTTGCTTATTTAAAAATACAATATAGAACAATGGAATTCCTGAATTCTGGCGCTCTGGCTCCCAGATGTAAATAACGTCGGTATCGTGTTCGCACAGATGGAATTTCGTGACGCTTCCCTCCAAACTAAAAAGCCACTCTCGAATCAGATCGTCCCGATCTGACTATTTATTCTCGCGATAAAACTTCAACCTGCCTGTTAGAATTTTCCTCCTTCATCTGACATTCGGGGTCGTGTTGGGTTCAATACACCATGTAAATCGTCAGCATAGTCTTCGGTTTCCATGTTGGCAACATCTGGAGCAACTGAAGGCCAAGTTATAGTGTACCGGAGCTCTTTTCCTTGGCTGGTGTTGTGTTATGTACAGCTGACCTGTATGCTATCAGAAATTGGAGTATATGTGTATAATACAGTAGGCTTGTTGTTGATATAGAATATGTTTTACAAGACAGGTGCCTATGGTACCCATATTAGAAGAGTCAGCTACGATAATAAATCAACAGAAAGTCCGTTCAAACTTATTGATATTCCCTATAATAGCGATGAAGGTATCAACTAACATGGTCAAACAGATTCTAATAGGGATGCCCTACTGGCTGTAAATGATAAATCCACTATTGCTTCTGATACTATTAGCGATGATACTGATGGGAGATTTAGACTCAGTGGTACAAAGAATGAACCAATTGCACAGAAGCATGTGCAATAGCATCACCGTTGAGCGTCTACGCGCCTCTCCGCTTCACGCCGCCATATTGCGCTGGCTGCAATTTATTTTATGTAAATTTCTCGGGCGAAAAATTCACAATTTTCTTCGCGTCGCTTCCGTTCGCAACGCTTCGTCTAAGTGCGCGTGCACCTTACTCAGTTTTTTAAATGTTATTCGTTAATCTGGATTTAACGGGAGGCATGAAAGTGGCAAAAATATTGAATTTGAATGATATAGATAAATATATGTATCATAAATTTTATTCCTTGTGACCTTGAAATCTTCCATAAACCATTGAAAAGATAAAAGCTGATTTTTTATATGTGGCCGTGGAAGATGAGTTTTCAAGTGTGAGGGTTTTGCCGCTTTCCTCAAATTATTCAGTAGCTACCTATATCGGATTTGGTACCTACTGTTTAATCTCACTCTTTCAAAAAAAAAAACAGTCCAATAAATGTTATTTTCCTCACAAAAAATATATATACGGGAATTATTCTATAGGGTTATGCTTTAAAAATATTTTTTTATTAATTCTAGCAATCACTGGTAAAGGAAGTCACCAAAAATCTCACCATTAAAAACATACTTGACCATAATGTTCCAATATCGAAAGATGGATTGTTATCCCGCACTTTCTCCCATTTGCACCAACTATCCGAACTTAAAAGATATATTTACCCCCATGTGGCTCAACTGGTGCTCAAAGACGAACGGGTGAAGACGGCTATTGAAAAAGCTGCATTGCAACAGTTGAAAGATTCTGATAGCAATGATGATGCAATGTATCAGGAGCTCATTAAAAAAAATGAAAGAAGGGCTAGCAACCTAATATTCGATATGAGGTCGACGTTGTCAGATTTTCTTTTGAGGTAAGGGTTTTATTTTCACTTACGTGTTTTCGTTATATAATAAATATTCATATACAGTTTTTTTTCAAATGTAAAGAAATGTATTGTGATAGCTCGTTGGAATGGGCATAAAAAAAGGAATATGACCCATTATTCACTTTTGCATTTCGATGATCTAGCTATGTAATTATTTTTGACATTAATGCACTATTTTAGGGTGGAGAATCCGAGTATCAGGCATCAAATAGTGTGTAACGTCAGAAATAACAAATGGGGCTTGTTTCGCATTAGGGTCCTACCAAGAAGAAATGCTGAAGATATTCAACAATTTTAACTGTAACTGTAACTGTGTGGAAAAATTTGTTTTAATTTTTTTCTCGCTTCCTAGATCACCGAAATGCAAAAGTAAATAATGGGTCATTTTCCTTTTTTTATGCCCATTCCAACGAGCTATCACAATACATATCTTTACATTTGAAAAAAAAAATTGGGGGTGGTTTCTACCCTTAAGAGAGGGGTAAATTCTATGAAAAGGCCGAAAAAATGTGCCAAACTAAAAATAAAGGGGCCCGTATTTTTTATTTTTCCAGAAAATAAACAGGCTTTCTGATACTGAATTTATTTCATTTAAAAAACAAAGCTAAAATATGACATTGCCGCTTTTGTAATATAATTTTTTAACGAAAAATGCCATAATATACCATAAGTTATATTTAAGATTCCAAATTTGCCGTCACTTGACCGAAACTGAAGTCAAAGTGATGAAATTGGATGAGACATGTAGAAGCGGCATAAAAAGTTTTCCAGATCCTTAAAACTTCAATTATATTGGATGACGCGTTCCGAAGTTATCACCTGGGTAAAACGTCGGGACACCCTGTATATTTTTATACATGTATATATTTTGCTATTGCAGCTTATAGACTGTTCAGGGATTAATGAAATTTAGGATATGATTAATGTGGAAAGTGTCTACAGGATTTTACTTCTGAAAGTACAGTTTTCAACAAATATAGATTGATTCTGTCGTTGGTGATGTTTTTTGATAAGTTTTAAAATTGTACCATGTATGTGAATGTTACGTCTTGTATAAATCTGTACCTACCAAACAACTTCGTATATTTTTCATGTAATGACATAGAAAGTCAATCTCAAATTGTCCTGAAGATGCTGCCAATTACAATTAAAGGATCGACAACAAGCTAACCAAATTAAAAACTAAAATGTTTAGTTTGATGGTGGCCAAATCTTTCCTATTTTGAATGTATGACTCTATTGCAATTCACATGATTTCTGAAGCACATATATTATAATAATCTAAAGACATGCAAAAAATTTATTGGTTTCATATGTTTATAATAAAAAAAACCAAATAAATATTATTTCTCAACTAAATTTTTCTACTTATAATAATACACTTTAAAAATTATTTCAGATTTACCTCATGGATTTTGTACAAACTATTACCATGCTTCCTTAGTTCAGTGGTTGTACATGAAGGCCAAATACATATGCTGAAAGAAGCCTCCAAAACCAATATTCCACTGATATTCCTTCCGTTACATAGGTCACATTTAGATTATATTCTTTTGTCATTTATTTTATTAAATAACAATATTCGATCACCATTAGTGGCAGCCGGGGATAACTTAAGAATACCTTTCTTTGGGTAAGACCTGTTTTGAATTATCTGACCATGGAAATTTCCACAAAGCATGAACAAATTTTAGATCATTATTAAGAGGTTTAGGAGCATTTTTTATAAAACGTCGAATAGATCCAGTAATGGGTCGCAAAGACTACGTTTACAAAGCAGTATTACACACCTACATGAACCTCTGCTTAAGAGCGGGACACAACATTGAATTTTTTTTAGAAGGAGGGCGTACAAGGACTGGTAAATATGTTTTCTATTATATTTTACTTTATAAGTACATCTTATTTTTTGAAGGTAAACCTTTGATGCCTAAATACGGTGTTCTCAGTGTTATCGTTGATACCTTCATGGACGGAACCATTGAAGATGCTCTTTTGGTACCTGTGAGTGTCAACTATGAAAAGCTAGTTGATGGTAACTTTATAAAGGAACAGCTGGGAGAACCAAAGAAACTTGAAACTTTTGGAGACGCTTTGAAAGGCATTTGGCATGTTTTAAACAGCAACTACGGCATGATGAGAGTTGATTTTAATCAGCCATTTTCATTAAGGGTAACTTTTTAATAAATTAAATACAGTGGAAACTGAAAGATTCAGTACCTACCCAAACTTCAGGTGAAAAACTTGTTCGGATTTTTTATGGAACATGTTAAAAAGAGCATGTCCATAGTAGGTACCCCTATTATATTAGCAATTAAAACTGAATAGCTTACTTCAATGTTGCTGGTGTGCCTTAATGCTCAGCTTGCATCTACCTATTCTTTTTTTTTTTCAAGCCTTTATCACTTTGATGATCACAACCCAATAATCTAGGTCTAAGAATGCAAGGGTTCATTAATCGAATTATTGAAATTTAAGTAATTTAAGTACTTTTTCTAATATTATTGGTATGGTAAATTTTTCGTTTCTCAAGATGTTTCTCCTAAGTTATCAAAATTTCCCTGAATCATCTTCCAATCAGGGTTGATCAACGTAACTTGCTCAAATAAATACTATAGAATTGCAAATTTTATACCAAGTTCATGTACGGTGGTAGTGAGTAGGGGTTACAGACTTGTAGGACAGATAGTAGGTACCTACTGATCAAAATAGAAAAAAAAAGTTTTAATGAGTATAGGCATCCAAAAACGCTCCGATTTTAAGAATCAATCATGAGTCAGTCAGTTTCCTTCCAGGAGACCACTGGTACAAGCGGTACGCAAAAAAAGTAACCTTTCTTTGCAGAAAGCATGTCGCTCTGCAGGTCTAGTGCAGAGCTTCAAGGAATTGATTTGATCCTAAGCACAACGATTCCCGACCATGTGGGTTCAAAACGACCACATTTAGAGAAATAAATAAAAAATAAAAATAAATTATTTCAAAAGTGCCGAGTTTGGTGTCGTTTGCATACCAAAAAAGGTCACTGAGATCAACCTTGAAGTAAAAAATGTCGCGATATTAATAGTTTCAGTTCCACAGCTATAAAAGAGGATAATTTTGATCCTAAGTGAGCATTCACACCAAAGTAGCATGCGACATGCGACTTGCTGCTAGAAAGCAAGAAGCATATGCTACTTATTTTAGGACCTTTAGAAATATATGGGTGGTTTCACACCGAAGTAGCATAGCAAAAATGCGACGTGGCAACATGCGACGTGCGACTCAGATTGAAGCATGTCATATATTTTGATAGTTTGCGACGTATTTGCAAGGCGCACACACAAAGCACTTAGTGAGCAGTGACACCAAAGTAGCATATGCGACGTGCTTCCTGCTTTCTAGCAGCATGTCTTTTTTTTCTCGAGTCAGTAAGCCTTATTCATAAGAATATCTCTTGTTTTCCGGCACGCCAAACTACCCATCTGACGAGACAAAGTCATCATCTGTCGCTTCCTATTCCACATTCCTCTCTTGTACAGAACTCTATCATTTACAAGAGTGTAAAACTTTATAATCACCTTCCAGCAACTTTGAAAGATATATCAGATATCACTCTATTTCGAAAAAAGTTAAAGATTATCTTACTTACCCAAGCATTCTATACTGATGATGAATTTCTGTACTTGGTATTTTGAACCCAATAAATTTAACCAGCTTTTGCAGCCTAGAATTATCGTGGGCGGGGCACTCTGTCCTGGGTGTTTATTTTATTTTCCTATCAGAGCACTACTGTACTGTTTGTTCATGTTTTATCTTATTTCTTAATGCTTCTGTCAAGATCTGACCCCCTAGTTATTTAGTTATTATTGATTTTAATATTTTGTTTGTTCTTGTATTGTTTCTTCTCTGTGTGACTTATCACTTGTTTATAGTTTTTTTTAAACTTATTTATTAACTGTTAAAATTTAAAAATATGTATGTTATGTATTTACTGTGACAAGCATTATAGTTAGATGGTTTAGATGTTTGATTTTAGATTTAAGGATTAGCTTTGTCCATAATGATTATTGTATCTTTTGACAATAAAGCATGCTACTACTACTACTACTACTACTACTACTACGTCGGATGCTACTTTGATGTGAATGCTCACTAATGCAACCCCTTTGCTGTCGACCGTGTAAAATTTGTATCATTGCTCATAAACCAATGAAACTTGTTACAAGTGAAACAGAGTTACAGAATTCATCAAATAATCAGCCTAAAGATCAAATAGAACAAGAAGAACAGTTCTCCGAAGAAAACCAGATTCAAGATCAAATTATTCAACATTTTGAGATACCAGACCGAACAGAGATACAAGTCTGGAAATGACAGATCCGACAGAAAATGAGCATAGAACAGTACAAGAAGACCTAGAAGATCAAACTGAAATAGGAAAACAACTGAGAGAGAGAATAGAGCTGAAAAAACCTATGTTATGACAGTTGCTGCAGAAATGAGCGAACCACAGGAGTCATTAAGCTACAAAGATGTTATTACTTGCAATGATAAAACAATTGGATTTTGGCAATGGATAAAGAAATACAGTCACTATAAGAAAATTGTACTTGCGAGATTGAGAGGTTACCACAGGAAAGAAGGCAATACCTTGTAACTGGGTGTATAAAGTGAAGACTAATCCAGATGGGTCCATTGACAAATACAAAGCTCGGTTAATCATCAAGGGTTATTCACAAAGAAAAGGTGAAGATTACGACCAGACTTACAGTCCTGTAGCCAAGGGAGGAACAATAAGGTTACTGCTCAGTATTGCTGCTAGCGTATTCTCTCATTAAAAATTAATTGAATAAGTCTATATGAAGCACCCAGAGGGGTATAAAGATGGAAGAAATATAGTTTGTGAACTTCAGCGCAGTTTTTATGGACTAAAACAAGCAACTAGATGTTGGAATCAAAAATGTACCGATTACATAGAAGTTTTTGGTTTTAGAAGATCAGATACCAACCCTTGTTCCTTTATAAGTAAAATTGAAGAAGGCATACTCCTACTAACATTATATGTAGATGATCGACTCCTGGGGCCCGATTCTCGTATCAGGCAGAGGAGAGCTCCCCGAGAGAACATATTTTCGTCTTTATCATTCTCGTTCTCTTTTCGATTACGTTGACAGGACAAAAAATTCGTTCTCTCGGGGAGCTCTACTCCCTGGGGACGAGAATCGGGCCACTGGCGTCAACCAACGACAAATTGAAGGTTTCCTTCCTATAAAGAGTTTACGAAGAGAATTTAAAATTACCATTAAACCAGCATCTCATTTTTTGGGTTTAGAAATTAGAATAACTGAAAATGGTGCAGTAGAATAAGTAAGCCAAACAGCTTACCTATACAAGAAAAATTCTTGACCGCTTTGGAATGCAAAACTGTGAACCTGTATTGACGCTAATGGTGGAAGAAGGTGTAAAATTGGGGAGGAATAGGGAAGAATTGAACACTACAACTACATTTCCATATATAGAGGCTGTCACGGAGACGTTGAAAGAGCTGAAAGGATTTTACGTTACCTAAAAAAATTCCATTGAGATTGGTTTGATATATAAACCAGGAGTACCAAAAGAAATTAAAGCCTTCAGTGGCGCAGAACATGGTGGCGATGAAACCACAAGATGCTCAACTTCAGGTTTTTAAAGTATGTTTGCTGCCCCATCATCACGTGGTTAAGCCAAAGACAGACATCAGTTGCCATATCAAACGACTGGAGCTGAAATAGTGGCGGTTAACGAAGCTCTTAATAGTCGGGAATCTGAGGTGCTGAATTCGACCACCTCTATACAAGTCGCGAACTAAAAAACATGAAATCCTATGTAAAATGACCTGCCGGATTCGAATTTCTTGTTCGCCCTTTGATCCGGAATTGCGAAATGTGTCAAAACATGACATTTTTGAAAAAACTGAAAATTTCCATTGAAATAATTTTTTTTTGAAAACTAGTGCATAACTTTGTTAATTGATGTCCGATTGTTATGAATTTTGGATATGATATTTTTCAGTACTTCCCTGACATAGTTTCATAACAATAAAAAACATAGAACGTCACATAAAAGCTACGTAATTTTTTTTTTTGCAGCGTTAAATGGTGAGTCGAGAAAACTTTTTTATCTTTAGAGATAGATACCAAGTATAAGCGAGAAAAATGTTGCCAATGGAGTAAAGAAACTTTTTTACTAAAACTTTTTTTCCATACGACGTTTAGTTTGGGCTGTATTCTTTTTTTAAAACCGAAGAAAATTGAATTGCCGCGTCTCAACTCTCGGCATTGCCGGTGAGCGCGATCTTAGGACGCGGTGCAGCGAATCAGTGTGTCAGAGAGAGTTAACACCACAGCTTTCTTCATACGTGCAACAAAGACACGCATTACGATATTGTTATAATATTGTAGGGAGTATGGGGAATGGGGGATTTATGGGTTTGGTTGTGTTGGGAAACAATATAAATAGGAAAAATATTAATAATAGGTACCTAATTTTTTTTACAAGTATAAAAAACAATATGATCATTACCCAATCAAAATATTTATTTCACAATGCATTTTCTCTCAGACAAACACTGGCAAAAAAGGAAAAAAAAAAAAAACGTCACATAAAAGGTATAAAAAAGTATATTGTGTATTTAGGTGGAAAAGTGACACATTCTCGGCCGACGGTGTAAGTTGACACCGAAGCCTGCACACAATTTGCAATAATCCGCCCTCAAATATTAAACATTTGATTGTAGTTTATAAGGAGAATGGCCTTCATTGAAAAATGTGGCGTCAGCGTCAGAATTTGAAGAACTTGAATTCCTTACAGCGTCTTATTTATTGATAATCACTTTAGTAGAGCAAAGATAACTTGAAAGTTTTCCATCTCGGAGAACAACCATAATTGTTCTCTTAAAAAGACTTTGCAGGTTATTGATAATCTCTTCTGACGATGGATATTGTGCAGTTCACTCAACGTTCCATAACTTTGCTTCCTTGTTTTCCTATGTAGGATGATTTCTATTGTGAAGACCCTATTTTCTATAAATAGGGCATTTTCTATATAAGATTGAATTTTAATAAAATAGTTCCAAGCGAAAGTACTTCAGATTCTTGTAGGGAATTTACTTCCGATTTTGATTTTTGGAATAGTTTCAAGAAACACAGACTATG